ACATGTTTCGCTTACACAGTAGCTTTCTTCAGTCAAATATAAAGGGAGCAGTGGTAGTGATATATGTTGGTGAGGGGCTCTTGATTTAGGGAATTGGATCTGTGCTCCAGTTCCCCAAATTAAGCCTGAATGCCTTCCACATCCCCATCCCCCCCAGGCGCTGTATAATCCTCCGGGTTTAGCGCTTCCCCTTGGATTATAATAATAATAATCCGCTTCACATCGTTCCAGACGATGAAGCTGAACTCTTCTCCAGGCTGAGGGACTGACCACCTCACATACTTTTCTCAAAGGTTGATGGATTGATTACATCCTCTTTATTTCATTACAACTGAAGAAGCCTACTGTGTATGCGAAACGTTTCATTAATAAAGGTACCCAACTGCTGCACATATGAAGGGAACCAAGACAGCTGTTATATCCTCACTTCCATTTGTTGAACACTGTAGCTACTGCTGGACGGTGCTGCCATCTCTCCGGTTGATATCTGAGACAACCTCAGCCATTCCTGACTTTCATCACCATCCAGAGCTGCTTTTTCCCGAACCATTGTCAGAGTGGGAAAGAAGTCTTTGATGAGTGAATCTCAACATGGATTCTCACGGGGGTCGTTCTTGTCTGCTAAATTTACTGACCGTTAGTAAAGTATCGAGAGAAATTATAAATACGTTGCTCAAAATATCTAATCAGAAAATAAGTGGGAACAATGGATTTATACTGGATTAATTCGGGTTTAGAAAGGGCATAATTAAAGAACTGGTTGTGCACTGGTTATGGATGCGTGGAACAATCTGCCTAGTAATCTGAAAAGGACATACCTGGCACTGGCCTCTGGCACTGGCCAGTCGCTCTACTGCAGTGCCCCTCAATTATAATTCTTTAAAAAAAAAAGTCAACAGACTTGGCTCTGAAAAAAATACTGAGTTTAAAAGACAATTTATTCAACAATATTCTTCAACGTTACAGCGGTTCATTGTCCACAGGTCACTATGTATTTTCATATATTGACTCACTAAATCGTAATATCACGATTGGAAAAAAAATCACGGAACGGTGGGGGTTTAAACCATGGCGAGTGCATAGAAATATACCAGATTGGATGCATCTTATCAGAGCCAGCTGACCCAGCGGTTAACGTACTGGCCCGTGAGTTTTAGGGCTTGTCATGGGTTTAAGTCCCACCCGGTCCGTGGCTTGTATTATTAGTGTTTAAAATCCCTCCAGCACTACAAATTTTACAACAAGTTTAATTTTACAAGATTTACAAACCAGTATCACATGTTATACAATTCGCCCAATGTTAGAGACCTTCCCACACACTCCAGATGTGTATATATGTATGAGGTGGGACCTTGTATCAGGAGGCAGCAGTGAGAAAGGAGCGAGGGACAGTGTGTGCTAGGCACTGTGCCAGGGACTGTGCCAAGGACTGTGCCAGGCACTGTGCCAGGCACTGTGCCAGGGACTCTTCCCCCTCAAGCCCCCGTCATGTAGGTTCACATCCCTCACTCCTTCCAGCCACCATGTCTTGATTAATCTCCCAACGTATTCTCTCTCCTGAACCTGCTCTTCCATCGTCACTACACTACCAGGCTGAGTGACTGCAAGTGAGCAGTCAGGGGTTCAATATAAACAGCTTATACCCAGTCACATGTTATCTAAGAATCAAATTTAGTCTCGTCCAGACAGAGAGAGGATTCCCAGGCAATATCAAGGTTTAATGAGTACGAGCAAGCAGAGCCTCCGTCTAACGACTTTTTTTTCCATACGGAGGGTGAAGCCTGCATCAGTCCTTGTGCTAAGTCATTCACACGAGTTTAGCTCTTCACATAATGCATAGTAAGTTTATACTGTGCTCCCCGTGGGTTCACTTGGCCGTAAACAGCATGGGAACTGGAATGAAACCAGCATCACGGGTCCCACAACACGAGATTACACACACACGGACTGTCCTGCACTTAGTTTCTGTATTCCTCTGCTGCATACTTTCTGTATCCCTTTTTTTTTCTCTCCCTCCCACACGTACACACAACAGACACTTTTGGGATATTAAAAACGAGAGGCAGAGAATAACTGGGAAGAATTTACGATGACTGGCGAAGTAGGAGTCAGGTGGTACAATGGTGCTAGGTAGGCACCATTAACCAGTGGTGGTGTGGTAGTGGGTGGTGCACTGGTGCGCCATCAGCCAGTGGTGCTCTGGTAGCGGGTAGAACACTGGTGCACCATCAGCCAGTGGTACTGTGGTAGTGGCTGTGGGTGATGGAGGTACGGTGACCTGTGGAGCCCTCCGCTGTGGTGAACACCGCCAGTCGGAAGTTCTTGTTGCTGTCGGAGCTACGGAAGGTCTGCGAGCGCCTGGGGTCGAGGCGGAAATTAAAGCGGCAAGTACAGAGGCTCCGCAACAGCTGTGTCATGTTCTCGTTAAAAGCCAAGAAGATCCAGGGGTTGACCACGCTGTTCAGCGATGACAGCAGCGTCAGGATAGTGAAGGCTGCACCTGCAGGAGACAATACTTCTTCAGTCTGAGGAGAGGATGAGGAAGGGCAGCCATCTATATGAGAAAATAATGGAAACAGGTTTAATACATAGCTGGAGTGGGAATGATAGGAATTATGGCCACGGACAAAATGTGAGCGTTTGTGAGTGGACAGGCAGGGCCAGGAGCTGAGACTTGACCCCAACACCCATAAAAAATAGGCGAATACAACATGCAGTTGAAACCTTACACACTAACAAATAGGATAAGACAGTAAGTTAACGGTACAGCCAGTTGCATAATACAACCAGCTGCATAATATAGCCGGTTGTATAATACAACGGAGTTGGTACTAAAGACTCCAGAAACCAACTTCCACGTTAAAAAATCAACGTTCTGAATACCCTGAGCCAGCACTACCACAACCACCACCTCTAGTGCTACTACCACTACCACTACTACTACTACCATCACTACCACCATCTTCACCACCACCACCCCCTCTACTACTGTCTCTCGTTACCACCATCCAATACTACTACATGCACCACTACTACTACCACAACCACAACTCCACTCACAACCACAATTACCACCATCACAACATACACGTCACCGAGCAACTACCACCATCTCCTCCACTATCTCCCCAAAACTGGCTCCTTGTATCTCCCAAAATCTTTCCAAACCCGGAGGAGATTTTCCAGGAAGGAGGAACACTGCAGAAGGCCTACTGACCCATGTTACCAAAAATAGTGGGTGGATGAAGTGTGAATTAGATACACAAGGCGAGTGTGAGGACGTTTCGCCCATCGTCCCTGAAGGACGAAACGTGTTCACAATAAAACGTTTAAATACACGTATTGTCTTATTTTCCTGCTGGCCTATGCTAGGTAGGTCTGCCTCACACACACGACTATTACTACTACTACTACTACTACTACTACTACTAACTACTACTACTACTACTACTACTACTATTACCACTGCCACCACCACAGTCACTACCACCACCATCTACCGCCATCTACCACAACCACCTACTACAACCACCTACCACCACCTACCACAACCACCTACCACCACCTACCACAACCGTCTACCACAATCACCTACCACCATCTTCCACAGCCATCTACCACTACCTACCGCCATCTTCCACAACCATCTACCACCACCTACCACAACCACCTACCACCATCTTCCACAACCATCTACCACCACCTACCACCATCTTCCACAACCATCTACCACCACCTACCACCATCTTCCACAACCATCTACCACCACCTACCACCATTTACCACAACCACCTACCACCATCTGCCACAACCACTTACCACCACCTATCACAACCGTCTACCACCACCTACCACAACCACCTACCACCATCTTCCACAACCACCTACCACCATCTTCCACAACCACCTACCACCATCTTCCACAACCACCTACCACCATCTACCACAACAACCTACCACCATCTTCCACAACAACCTACCACCATCTTCCACAACAACCTACCACCATCTTCCACAACCACTTACCACCACCTACCACAACCACTTACCACCACCTACCACAACCACTTACCACCACCTACCACAACCACCTACCACCACCTACCACAACCACCTACCACCACCTACCACAACCACCTACCACCACCTACCACAACCGTCTACCACCACCTACCACAACCGTCTACCACCACCTACCACAATCACCTACCACCATCTTCCACAGCCATCTACCACTACCTACCGCCACTTACCACAACCACCTACCACCACCTACCACAACCACCTACCAGCATTGCCCACAACCATCTACCACCTACCACAAACACCTACCACCATCTATCACAATCATTTACCACCATCTACCACAACCACCTCCCATCATCTACCACAACCACCTACCACCTACCACAACCACCTACCACCATCTACCACAACCTCCTCCCACCATCTACCACAACCACCTACCACCACATACCACCACCTACCACAACCACCTACCAGCATTGTCCACAACCATCTACCACCTACCACAAACACCTACCAAAATCATTTACCACCATCTACCACAAACACCTACCACTACCTACAACAACTACTTCCCACCACCTACCACCACATACCATCATCTACCACAACCACCTACCACCATCTTCCACAACTATCTACCACCATCTACGCAAACCAAATTCCCACTAAAACTATCACCATAAATCATTTACAAATTATGCAGTAAAAATATCCCTTTTTCCCCTCCCCCCAGCGTCCCCCTCCCCCCAGCATCCCCCTCCCCCCCAGCCCCCCCCCCCCAGCGTCTCCCCCCAGCGTCCCCCCAGCGTCCCCCCTCTCCCCAGCGTCCCCCTCCCCCCAGCGTCCCCCCCTCCCCCCCTGCGTCCCCCCCTCCCCCAGCGTCCCCCCCTCCTCCCCAGCGTCCCCCTCTCCCCAGCGTCCCTCTCCCCCCAGCGTCCCCCTTTCCCCCCAGCGTCCCCTCTCCCCCAGCGTCCCCCTCCCCCCAGCGTCCCCCTCTCCCCAGCGTCCCTCTCCCCCCCGCCGTCCCCCTTTCCCCCAGCGTCCACCTCTCCCCAGCGTCCCCCCTCCCCAGCGTCCCCCCCTCCCCCCAGCGTCCCTCCTCCCCCCTCCCCCCAGCGTCCCCCTCCCCCCAGCGTCCCCCTCTCCCCAGCGTCCCCCTCCCCCCAGCGTCCCCCCCTCCCCCCTCGCGTCCCCCTCCCCCCGTGTCCCCCCCCTCTCCCCAGCGTCCCCCCTCTCCCCAGCGTCCCTCTCCCCCCAGCGTCCCCCTTCCCCCCAGCGTCCCCCTCTCCCCAGCGTCCCCCTCCCCCCAGCGTCCCCCTTTCGCCACACCGTCCTCCTCTCCCCCCAGCGTCCCCCCTCTCCCCCAGCGTCCTCCTCTCCCCCCAGCGTCCCCCCTTCCCCCCAGCATCCTCGTCAGTCACCCCTCTTGTCAAAACCAAATTTTAGGGAACCTTCAGCAATTGGCAGGGAAGTTCTGCCGCGTGAAGGGAAATTTTCCCCAGACGTGTTTTGACCACAAGGAAATTTTGTAATGAAGCCGAGGGGAAGTTAGGGGAAAAAATTGATTAAGTTGGGGAAAAAAGGAGTAAGTTGAGAAAGTTGATTGACTGTTTAGTGAAGAGGTGAAAAGGTGGAGAGATTGAGTGAGAGTTGAAAATGAAGTGGAACTTGAGGGAGAGGTGAGTGTGGGAGAGGTGAGTGTGGGAGAGGTGAGTGTGGGAGAGGTGAGTGTGGGAGAGGTGAGTGTGGGAGAGGTGAGTGAGGGAGAGGTGAGTGTGGGAGAGGTGAGTGTGAGAGGAGTGAGTGTGAGAGGAGTGAGTGTGGGAGAGGTGAGTGTGGGAGAGGTGTGTGGGAGAGGTGAGTGTGAGAGGAGTGAGTGTGGGAGAGGTGAGTGTGGGAGGAGTGAGTGAGGGAGAGGCGAGTGTGAGAGAAGTGAGTGTGGGAGAGGAGAGTGCGAGAGAAGTGAGTGTGGGAGAGGTGAGTTATGGGAGAGGTGAGTGTGGAGAGGTGAGTGTGAGAGGAGTGAGTGTGGGAGAGGGTGAGTGTGAGAGAAGTGGTGTGGGAGAGGTGAGTGTGTGAGAAGTGAGTGGGAGAGGTGAGTGCGAGATGAGTGAGGGAGAGGTGAGTGTGGGAGAGGTGAGTGTGGGAGGAGTGAGTGAGGGAGAGGCGAGTGTGAGAGAAGTGAGTGTGGGAGAGGAGAGTGCGAGAGAAGTGAGTGTGGGAGAGGTGAGTGCGAGAGGAGTGAGTGTGGGAGAGGTGAGTGTGGGAGAGGTGAGTGTGGGAGACATGAGTGTGGGAGAGGTGAGTATGGGAGAGGTGAGTATGGGAGAAGTGAGTGAGGGAGAGGTGAGTGTGAGAGAAGTGAGTGTGGGAGAGGTGAGTGCGAGAGAAGTGAGTGTGGGAGAGGTGAGTGCGAGGTGAGTGAGGGAGAGTGAGTGTGGGAGAGGTGAGTGTGGGAGAGGTGAGTGAGGGAGAGGTGAGTGTGAGAGAGGTGAGTGAGGGAGAGGTGAGTGAGGGAGAGGTGAGTGAGGGAGAGGTGAGTGTGGTAGAGGTGTGTGTGCGAGGAGTGAGGGAGAGGTGAGTGTGGAGAAGTGAGTGTGGGAGAAGTGAGTGTGGGAGAGGTGAGTGTGGGAGAGGTGAGTGTGGGGAGGTGAGTGTGGGAGAGGTGAGTGTGGGAGAGGTGAGTGTGGGAGAGGTGAGGGAGAGGTGAGTGTGGGAGAGGTGGGTGTGGGAGAGGTGAGTGTGGGAGAGGTGAGTGTGGGAGAGGTGAGTGTGGGAGAGGTGAGTATGGGAGAAGTGAGGGAGAGGTGAGTGTGAGAGAAGTGAGTGTGGGAGAGGTGAGTGCGAGAGAAGTGAGTGTGGGAGAGGTGAGTGCGAGGTGAGTGAGGGAGAGGTGAGTGTGGGAGAGGTGAGTGAGGGAGAGGTGAGTGTGAGAGAGGGGAGTGAGGGAGAGGTGAGTGAGGGAGAGGTGAGTGAGGGAGAGGCGAGTGTGGTAGAGGTGAGCGTGCGAGGAGTGAGGGAGAGGTGAGTGTGGGAGGAGTGAGGGAGAGGTGAGTGTGGGAGAGGTGAGTGTGGGAGAGGTGAGTGTGGGAGAGGTGAGTGTGGGAGAGGTGAGTGAGGGAGAGGTGAGTGAGGGAGAGGTGAGGGAGAGAGAGGTGAGTGAGGGAGAGGTGAGGGAGAGGTGAGTGTGGGAGAGGTGAGTGTGGGAGAGGTGAGTGTGGGAGAGGTGAGTGTGGGAGAGGTAAGTGTGGGAGAGGTGAGTGTGGGAGAGGTGAGTGTGAGTTGGCTGGGAACAATGCCACCACATAACACACAATACCACCACATAACACAATACCACCACATACCACCACATAACACACAATACCACCACATAACACACAATACCACCACATAACACACAATACCACCACATAACACACAATACCACCACATAACACACAATGCCACCACATAACACACAATACTACC